TGTTCAATATTGTTTCAGCAAATGCCATATGTTTTAAATGGTGTCTAGTAAATAAGGAATCATTTGCAAATAATTAGGGTTGACAAATAATGCAGAATTTCCTAAGAATTATTAATTTTGTGATGAAAAATAAAAATGTACAAAGGACCATTGGTATGTCATTGAGAACATTAGTGCATATTGCAAACACAGTCAAATTTTGCAAGCACTCTAATTGATGGCTTTTCCTTTATTACATGTACCTATTAAACCATGCTTAAATTTGTTGTTTTTAAATACACATCAGAAATAAAGCAAACATAATATCACAGTCCCAGGGAGCAGCAAACATGGGCTGCCATGCAAGGGTGGAGTGCTGGAAGGGGAGAGTGATAGTTACAGCAGTGACAAGAGGCACCATCCCATAGCACCCATATGGGAAAGAGAATGCCTGGGGATGGTGCTCAGAGGCAGCCAATGGAGAGATAAACTGCAAGGACACAGGTTCTGAGATCAAGAGAGTAAGTATTTGGATCAGGGTCAAGGCCCAAGTAATCAAGGTGTAAGAGCAAGTACCTGCTCGCTTGCAGCATAGCCCAGGTGAGTATCAAGGGTCAGAACTTGAGCTTTAATGCAGCTCCTGAGGAGGGTAGGGGGCCCCACAAAGCGTCCCCCGCCCCCCAACAGCACCCCCTCAATTACTGCACATCACCTTGATCCAAGGTTGCAGCTCAAGCGCAGGAAGGAATTTAACAAAGTGGGCATGTGACAAGTGAGAAGGTGGAAAGAGGAGGTTCATTCCTGGCCAAAACATGGTGGCATGATGTTACTAAACAATTCCTGGTTTATTCTCTTCTTTGACAGATTTTCTCTTCCTGAGAAGTTGCTAAAGTCAAACATCATCTGCGGGTGTTTCTCCAATCTCACTTATAATGTACTCTATTTTTTGTTATTAGTTTGTAATGCCAGTTATTAATAGAAAGAACACATAATTCTTAAAATGCTGGACAGGAATGCAGATCACCTGGGGTTAATTTTTGCTGGAGTTTTGCATAAATCTACCTGCTTTATTCTCCTCTAATGCAAAATAGAGCATTGTGCTGCTTTTCACCCAGCTTTATGTAATTTTAAGAGCTAGATTTTCTTCAAGTATCTCTGTGTCCATACAAATCCCAGTCTTGAAATTTTCTTAGTCTTTATCAATTCCATGGAGCCAGCTGGGCTTATAAATAGGAAGATTTTATCCTTGCCTAAAGCAGACATAAGGTATAACAATTGTAATATTCCCTTTCAAATTTCATCTCATGACATTATTTTATCTCATGAGATGGCATCAGCATTTTGCAGTTATTTAATTTCTTTCTGATTTTCTAAGTAATACATGTTAATATATTAACTGTACTTCATGCACACCTTTTTACTTTTTATAATCTTCACTGTATATTTTTTTCCTTCATGATTTTATTGCTAAATAGACAGATTCTTGGTATTTCTTTTCTATATTCCCTCTATATCCATTGCTTTTACAGGATATTTTTGTTTATTTAATATTATTAGTTATAGAGATCTCATAATAATTTTTTAGCTGCATGAAGACTAATAATGATTTTGTGAAGAATAAAAACTGTTAAAATGCTGCCACCCGCTTTTTAAAAAATAGTTCAGATTTCTCCCATATAAATATTTTAAAGAAGCACATTTTCATTACCAGTTAAAATGAAATTTGTATGTGACACCAGAATGATGCATAATTACATGAATGAGGACAAAATGTGAGTGGGCAAGAACTCTTCTGCATTAGACATGCAAGAGTTTTCTTTTTGAAGTGTCTAAAAGGAAAAATAACCTTTTGTAAAAGTCTTTTTAGTAACACCTGAGAAAATTTCTTACTATGAAATAGGTATGAAAAGATGGGCTGCTGAATGTAGGATTTCTAAATCTGTGTGGTAATATAAACCATAGACTTTTATACCTGATAACAGTGATAGATGTAATAACAGTTATAATGAACATAATAGTTCAAGACTGCTACCTTTAAAGAAAAAAATGCTAAATGACCCAAACTACATATTTGATACTCCATTATCTAATGGTATCTTTGAACATCATGAGATTCTGAAAATAATGGAATGGTCTCAAAATAGAAGGACTAGGATTATTCGACAACAAGAATAGTAGTTTTCTTGCAGATCCGTGTCCTTTCTTTCTTTCTATAGGGAGTTAACTCTCAGGGGTGAAAATACAGAGGCAGAGAGAGGAAATTAATATTAACATATTTGCCTAGCTTTGGAGCTATGTGGCTAGAATACTGAAACTCTTTGAAGGCAGAATTTGGATTCAGTAGTTAAAATAAAATGAAAACTATTCTGGGAGGAGGATCAAAATCTAGTTTATGCCCCTTCTGAGTTCAATAGTCTAAGCTCCAAATCTCCTGTTATTACTATTGGTTAGTCATAGTCCATGCTTTTCAGGTATCTTCAAAGGCTTAAACAGTGATGGCCACTCTGCTGCACAAAGATCATTGTGACAGGTTCACATGTTACTAATAGGACATAGATATATTTTAGATGTTTTCAAATGAATTTAGATAAAAATAGGAGAGACTGAATATGACCCTAAATTATCATCCTATAATTGCCAGCTGATCATTAAATTGTTTAAAGTTCTTTAACTAAAACTTTCCTCAAACAACATCTTTTCTGTCCTTCTTTAATCTTTCAGCCTAATTCAGAGTATGTACCAAAATACACTCGAAGAACTTTGGGGAAAATTAGGACATTTAAGAAAATCATGTACTGTTGCATTATAATCCACATGTACTTTTGTGATAAACCAGTGTAGTGTGTTGATCCTGGGTAGATACCAGGCATGCACCAAAACCCTTGCATCCCTTCCCTCCACACTGGACAGGGGAGAGAAAATATAATGAAGGGTTCATGAGTTAAGGACAGAGAGCAATCAATCACCACATACGGTTATGGGCATGACAAATGGAATTAGAGATATTAATTGAATTTATTACTCAAAAAATCAGAGCAGAATAATGAGAAATAAAATAAGACTTTAAAAGCACCTTCCCGCCACCCCTCCCTCTTCTCCAGCTATACCTCCTACCAGTGGCACAGGGAGACAGGGAATGGAGGTTATGGTCAGTTCATCACAGGATTTTTCTGCCACTGCTCCAGAAGAGGAGTCCTTCCCCTGCTTCAGCATGGAGAGCTTCCCATGGAAGATACTTTTCCACTAAATTCTTTAATGTGAATCCATCCAACAGCCAACAGTTCTCTACAAACTGCTGCAGTGAAGGATACTTCTCCTTGGGGTGCAGTCCTTCAGGAATAGGCTGCTCCAGTATGAGTTCCTCACAGGGTCACAAGTATTACCAGTAAATCTGCTCCAACATGGGCTCCTCCCTCCACTGGTCTACAGATCACTGCCAGGAGCCTGTTCCAACATGGGTGTCCTACAAGTCCACAGCCTCATCTCAGGCATCCACCTGCTCCAGTGTGGGTCTCCTCCCCAGGCTGCAGGTGGATCTCTGCATCCCCATGGCCCCCATGGGCTGCAGGGGCACAGCTGCCCCACCATGGGCTGCACCAGGGGCTGCAGGGGAATCTCAGCTCTGGCACCTGGAGCATCCCCTGCCCCTCCTTCTGCTCTCACCTTGGTGTCTGCAGAACTTTCCTCTCACATGTTCTCACTCTGCTCCTCTCTGGCTGAAGTTACAGCAGTGCAATAACTTTTTTTTCTTCTTTTTCTTAAATGTTTTATCTCATAAATCTTACCACCATTTCTGATTGGCCCAGCATTGGCCAGCAGCACACCCACGTTGGAGCTGGCTGGCATTGGCTCTGCTGGACAATGAGAAAGCCACCCCTCTAGCCCTCCCCTTACCAAAACCAGGCCATGCAAACCCAATAAAACTACGCTTGTGTATGTGTACAAAAATAGGCATCCACATGATTTTTACATGGGCTGTGCAAACATGAAAACAATATGAACAAATTTCAAACTATAAATGCTGTTTATTTACATTGAATGGCTTCCCTTGTAAGATAAATTTTCTTTAGAATGACTTTCTCATTTGTAAATATCAGTTTAGGGGCCACTATCTTAAAGAGGAATATAAATATCTGAGAGTTTCAGATAAGGATACTGAGGGGAAAAGAAACTGAAGGAGAGAAAAAGCTTTGTATTTAAGACAAATTTAACTATTACTAATGCAAAACTATTGAAATTTTTTAAGATATTTAACATATTATTGTGCTCTCATAATTTTCATTATGACTCCAAGAAAAGCTTCATAATCTTCTTTTGGTTTTCTTTCTGTAATCACTCATCTCCATGCAATAAAAATTGCTAGACATATTCAAGGGACAGAAAAGGCTAGTCTATAAATTAAATAGTCCTGAAGGACTCTGTAATCTGTTGTCTTTTACTGTAATACATAAAAGTCTCAACCATATCCTTAAGCACATTTGGTTTGAAAAGTAAGGATTTAGTGAAGGGTTTTGCTGAATGAATAAGAAAAGAGTTTAGTAGTTATTGCACGTTTTCTTCATAAAGCAAAAATTCTTAGGCCTACATTTTTGGAATATCTACTCTTATAATAAACTATTAAATTATTATCAGAAAAATATTTATGGTTAAAGCTTATGACTAGAACTTAGATGCTCTTGTTTAGCTCCTCGTTTTGCCTCATATGTCCCATCTTAACTTTATTACCATTAGTTTTGTCAATAGAGAGAGGAAACATGAAAAGTATCTCTTCAAGCTTTTGTGCATACAAATACAATAAAAATGCACTAAATAAATATCAATATTTTATCATGAATAAAATTAGGAAAAAAATTGCTTTTGTTACATTGTTGTTCTGATCAGTTCATTTGACTTATTCTAGTTTCCCATTACTAATTAGATGTTGCCTTGATTTGTTGTACGTTTTCTGTTTTGTAATGATGCTTTCATATTTAAGTGTATTTGGTGTGAAAACAAATATTTTCCTCTGTTTGAATTCCTAGATTGCCGTGGAAAATACATGTGAGCCTTAAGGAACAAGTGTTCTGAAGCTATCCTCAGGAATGAAGCATATGTGAAAGAAATTGGTCAAGTGAAACAATGACTACAAAATCAGCATTTTGCATGGTAGTGAGCTTTCTTCAACTTTGCATTGTCAGTGGGCAGGTAATATGTGAAAGGCAAATGACTACTGAATGGAGAACAGAACCAAAACCTACAGTAATAAAATGGACACCAAGGGAAAATATCTGTTCAGACTTTTACACTGAATGCTGGAATATGAATAAAAGTATTACTGGAGAAATCTCTGAAGAACATAACCTCAGTATCCCTCAGATATGCCCCTTGCAGCTTCAATTAGGTGATAGTCTCTTCATCTCCTCTGAGCCATCCTTTCAGTCCTACGGAATGAATTTGGTAAATGTCTCCAAGGAAGAATTTATTAACTGCCCTAAGGCTGGTTTTCTTCAAGAGCAGTTGATTTTTGTTTGCCAGATAAGAGGACTGCACCAAGTGGACCCGAACTGGCTCGGAGTTGGAACCCATTACTTTGCAGAACTTCACAGGAGAGGTCCGCTGCTGTGCAGCGCTGGCCTTCGTCTGAACGTAACCGTGAAGCAGCAGTTTTGCCAACAGTCTCTGGATGCACCACTGTGCTCTGGGCATGGAAAATGTCTAAGCCATGTTTGGGATAAAGCATATAATTGCCATTGTTTCTCACAGTATTCAGGAACATTCTGCCAGAAGTTTGATATATGCTCCGCTAAACCTTGCCACAACAATGCCTCCTGCACTGAGAAATCAGAACTTTCTGGAGATTCTTACGAATGTATATGTCCTCCAAAATTTTCAGGTATTTCTTTATTCCTCCAGGGATAAACATCACATGCACTTTCCTTAACAGATGATAAAACAATAAGAACAAGAGTAGAAAGGTAGAATTTTGTATCATTTGATTGCCCACTTCTGCTACCACACCTGCAGAGTCTCTTTTACATGGAGTCACTTATAGGAGACTGTGCACACGTTTGAAGACAGTTTATACTTGCTGACATTCATAAATACATTGTAGAGAAAAAGAGAATAAGTTCTTATCATGCTTCTTTCCTATTTAAACATGAGATATAAATAAGTACTTGTTGACTTACAGAAGTAACTGCTTTTCTTTTTAATTCTGCAGTTCAGGTTCTTAGTCCAAATAGCATAAATCATTTGGAGTAAGCTCCCCTAAAAATAGCTGAGCAATCAAACTGGTGAAAAAGAATAAGTGATTTTGTTGAAATGACTATTTCATTCAACCTGCCAAAACTCCCTTCCATTTTCAATTTAAAGACAAATTACATTAGTAAATTTTTTTTAAATAAAAATTTGGTTTAATTGAAAGGTCAAACCTTAAATTAGAAGGACAAGCAAAACAAAATACTTAATATTTTCTTCCAGATTGTTCTGTTCCCTAAACTTGTTTTCAAAGGCAATTTGTTAAACATACTGTTATTATCAAATTAAATGTCTCAAATGAAAAAGAAAAATCAAGTAATACTCCTAGGAAATATTACACTGCTTACCCAAGACTCATTGGAGAAACTGAATTGTATTACCATATACCATACCAGAAAGTACAACATAACTGAGTAAATTCTTATCTAACCATTACCTTTATTTCATGAAGAAAAAAAATGGATTAAGGAAAATATGGGGATGTTGTTCCTGCATTCAGACCAACAGAGTATGGGTACATTTTACAAAGAACCAGAAATATTCATTCTCATCACAAAAGGAATTGTTGTAGCTTTTTTGTACTTTTGGAGTAGAATACTTGAAATGCTCCTCTGTCAGACTGAACTTCTATGCTCTTACAATAGTGATGCTATGCTATGAAGCACAGCTGATAGCTCGGGAATGAGTGAGGTTCATAGAACACACTTCATAGAAATGAAGCTTATGTTGCATAAAGATTGCTGTAATTTATTTTTAATTGCTTTTCAAAGTGCATAATAATTTGGTTGCTAATGCATTTGCCAATAGAAAATTATGCAGGTATGAATAAGTCAATGTTCTGAGAAAAATATTTTTATAATTATGAACAGTGCAATAAGATAGTGGAAAACCTTGATGGTACGCAGGATGTTTTATATTTCCTTTATTATTATGGAGGCTGTGTAAAATGCTTTGAAAATAATAATATCTAAAGCGTCTGGTACTAATTGAACTCGAATTAATGAAAAGATTTGCAAGCAATTTTGTTAAAAGCAATCATCATGCTTAATACTATCAAGAAGCAATACTTAAAACATTTTGTTAGCCTATATAGGAAAGTTTCAGGTAATGCCAACATTTTGTACTCACAGTACTGTTCTCATAAATAAACTGAATGTAAATAAGAATTATGAGACTGAACCACCATATATTATGGGTATGGCTACACAAGAGTAAGGGAGGAAAAAGTACCTCCCATAACATAAAGTCTATTAGAAGTTTAAACAGTTTTTGAAGTATGAATAATGTCATGATAATAATTCAAGAGGCAAGCATAATTATATGGTATTTAGACCTGTATGCTGTAAAAGCATAAACAACTTATAACTGGAATTGTAATTTCCAGATAGCTGCCTATTAAAAAAAATTCTCACATTTCCACTCCACATAAGAACATCTTTTGTTCTCAATGCTGAAAGAAACTATAAGCTAAATTCATGTTAAAAAGAAATAAATACTGAAGTTCTAGTAGCACTTCAGCATTTTAAGGTATATATGAATTTGTAACTATATCTTAGATGAGGTTAAACACAGTAGTTGAGCACAAAAGCAAATTAATATCCTTTTGACTTGCCTTAGAATTTCAGTGAGTTTGGTGCAAACTAATGAACAATGTTAGCACAAACACACTGCTCTCTATTTGCCTATCTATATTGTAGCTATAAATTTGACATATACAAAAAATTCACCAAACTCCCTAAATATTTACTAAAGTCCAATATTCCTAATATTCCTTTGATACAGGTAAAAATTGTACAGAAATAGTTGGACAGTGCCAGCCATCTACATGTTTCAATGGTAACTGCATCAATGTTACTCCAAACACTTTTCTTTGTGAGTGTGACAAGGGCTTTACAGGTAGGAAACACCTTTTTTCCCTGCCTTACTATAATGATTTTATCTGTTATAATAATGGTATGAACTTCTGCTTTATTGCAACAGCTATTTTTGATGATTATTGCAGAGATTTCCATATCCTTAGATTTTTAAAAGTAAGTAAAAACATATAAATGATAAAAGTTTTTCATAATCAGATGCCATCCACAAGTACCTTTCTTCTATCGGCAGTAAAACAGAGGGAGTCTTAATCACTGACACACTGATTCTCAAATACAGAGTTAACAAGAATCAGAACTCTTCCTGGATGGATAATTTTGAATGGTCATGACATTTGTATTCATAATTTCAATATCCTGTTATAGATATACTAGAAATATAAGATGGGAAGGGTCAATAATGTCATGATTTAGGGTGCAACTTGATTTAAAAGAAGGTAATTTGTCTATTTATGATATATGGGACAAATAAGATGTTTTCATGAGAAAAGGTGGAATGGAATGAAAAAGTGTATCTAAAACCATCCTATTGTAAACATTTTTTGGGGGGATTAGGAGAGCAGTGAAAAACTATTCTTGTGCTTCACATCAGAAGTTCGCTGTATGGATGTGAGAAAAGTAGCAATACTAGGAAGAACATTCTTTAAGAAGGAGCCAAGCTCTTGAATATCCTAAGGCAGTAAAATTTTCAAAGTGTATCTTTCATGGAAGCATCACTTATCCTTGTCAATTATAGAAGATAAAGAAATAATTACATCGAAATGAAGAGTTAAAAGAAAAAAACAAAAAAGCATAATGGAGTTAGAGGGATCAAAGAGCCCCAATCTTTATTTTAATAGTAAAAGACTAAAGATCCTTGTTGATATTTTAATTAAGTCTGTATAGAAATATATTTTAAAAAAATATTATAGACATCCTGAATTCTAAATTCCAGTTAATCTCTTTGCTATTCTCCTTTTCTTCCCTTTCTTTCACTATAGAAGCATCATGGTCAGCATAATTCTGAGAAAACTGAAAAAAAACCCTCTTTTTTCAAATAAAAAAGTCCATTATAAAGTTTTCTAGAGATGGTTTTCCACCCACTCGTGGTCCATATCTTTTTAGAACACTTACCTTTGTTCTTTCACACAAACTGTGTAGGCACATCACTTTTGAAATTTTCCCTACAAAAATCTTTTTCATCCTTGCAAATTTGACATAGTGAGGGACAGGAGAAATGAGACAGGAGGAACGCCCTTCCAGATACAGCAAATCCAAACCTATAATGACATGAAAATAGTTTAATACTCTGAACTACTGGAGGGCAAGATACACTGCAGCTTACTCTTCAAGTAGATGGTAAGGATTGAGAAGGAGAAAAGGAGACTATGAATGTAACTAGCTGCCTTTTTATTCTACATTTAGCTAAAAGAAAATGGGGAATCCTTTCTTGTTTCTTACCATGAATATTTTAGGAGGAGAAGAATTTTAACTTTTTTTTCGTTCTCTAGTATAGCAGAATGGATTCACTAACATATAGTATAATTTTACAATTATTTGCTAACCAACTATAGTGGTTTAAGTCTTCCTGTGATGCTGTGTAAAGGTGTTTGCTAGCACAAAGGCAATTTTAAGAATAGCTACCTAAAAGAATACTACTATGTGAAAACAGACATTTTTTCTAGGAAAATAGACATTTTCCTATTGTTGTTCCATTGCAGCTGTATTGTACTCTCAACCAAGGTGAGTTGTGTAATTATGAATCTTGTAAGTTGAATGTTATTTTAAATGTGTGAAATTGGCAGAAAATTGAAAACATTCTTCTGTCTTGATATTGAACTTGCACACAAAAAACAAAGCATAAAAACTATATTGTGCACATTATGTTGAAGATTCTGTAAACTTTGTCCTACCTTTTTTTCTAAAATGAGGCAAGACGCTGGCAGTAACTAGTTCACATGATCTGAAAGAAAATATTAAATATACTTGTTACTCTATTGATAGGATGTAAATAAAATTATAATAATATAAAAATGCTCTGAAAGCATTTAGTAAAAATAAGTAAAGGTTGCTGGGTTCAAGTTGTTATTTTCACAAGGATAGAATGGATCTATTAGACAAGCAAAGTAAATTCTCATTTCAGTTATGCATTTTTCTTTGTTATTATTGGTTTAGTTCATTCACTGAGCTCTCAAAACTCTCTTTATCCCGAAGGAAGATTTTTAACATAACAGCAAACAGCTAGCATTAGATTTGCCAGTATTCTTATGATTGAATACTCTGATTCATTCCAGAATTTACACTCTTAGACTTGTTAAGAAGCATTTAGAGGAAAGGAATACAGGTAAAACAGATGGGTTGGGTACAGAGAGGAAGGAGGGAAAAACAGGCTGGTAATGTGTAAGCAGTTTCTGCTCAGTACTCTTGTCTGACTGAGACCTGCACTGAATCACTGTAATGTATCCATTCTTTCTTAATAAATCTTTTCTTAACTCTCTTTCCACATAATCTCACTCTCTCCTCATCTATGCATTCTAAGGTCCCAATGCCAGAACTGGAGAGAAAAAAAGTGCTTGAATTTGGTGTCTGCAATTTGAGTTAGACCACTGGTGATATGGTCCTAGTTCCGTTGGTGCTAGCATTTGAAGTAAATGAGTGTCTCAGCATCGGCAAGCTGAAGGGAGACCACAGACTGCAGGAGTGTGTGTCTCAAGAGAGTCAATTTTGTACCAGCAAGGGGCATCAGACTCTGAGAGATGATGGCTCACATACCTAGTGCCAGTTGGGGCAGGTGAGGGTCCCAGCATCAGCAAATGAAGAGGGGAGCAAGAGTGCCAGGGCCTGTGTGCACTGGCAGGAGCCACTTGAAAGATAAAATATTTATATTTTCCTCTAAGCTGGTCTCTGAGTGTGTGTGCAGATGTGCACGTGTGTATGTGCATGAGCAGTTCATTAGCACCCTTCAAGCTGGACTGTCTGTCGAGTAGGGGGCACAGGGTCTCGGCATCAATATTAGGTGAGCAGAGGTCCCACACTGCTGTTGAAAGGGTTCACAAGTCTTGGTCTTTGTGAAACAGAGGATAAGGGGCTGCACATTGAAGGGGTTCACAAATGCATCAGTCCTTCTGAAATAAAGGGTAAGGGGCTGTGTATCTTTACTAGCAAGCTTCACTCCTTCCAAAGAAGAGGACTAGGATTTGGCTGTTTGTACATATGTTTTGTGTCAGTTCTGGGCGCTGGTAAAAGCAATGCCTTATCTGTGGGTAGTCTCTGTAGCTGGTTGCATTAGTGCCCTCTGCATGTGTGCATCTCTGGCATACAAGTTCATCTTGACTGAGCCTGCAAACAGGAAAGCAGCATCTGCAGTCATTGGATGGATGGGACTCCCAGGTCTTTGGGTTCACTGGGCTGGGCTTCAGCAGCTGGGAAGGAGATTCTTCAGGTGCCAGAGTCCACCAGAGCAAGTGTCTTTTACACATTTCTTAACAAAGAGAATGTCTCAGAAATTTTGATGGATGTTATTTTCCTGTTCTGAAGATGCATAGCAAATTAATGTGACTCATTCATAAGCTAAAGGAAATAACAATATCTTAGCTACCTCTGTTAATGGTACCGCTCAGTATGCTTACCCTAGATAACATTTAGTAGATTAACAGAAGTAATTTTCCATCTGAATATGTTTTGTTGAATCTGTGTCGCATTTTACTCCCTAGGTGGGAAGATGGGACTGATTAAAAAGCAACTCTTTGTAGAGTACTTGAGATTATTTTGAGCTTTTTTACACATTCTTGTAAGAGAGACTTGAATTTCCTGCCTTTCCCAATGGTCCAATTGACCTCTTTGCAGACTATAATGAGTTCCCTCCTCACTTGAGGGACAGGAGATAGTATGAGAATGAGGTGGTTTTGCTTGGAGCCACAACACAAGAGCTTCCATCATCCAGGCACTTTAGTTTAGAATGGTCTGTTTGCTTCATTGGTGAATTATACCCAGACTCTTTTGGAAAGGGTCATAAATGTAAAGATACTTTTATACATATATAAAAGAAGAATTTATTGTTTGCACAATTACTGTTTTAACAGCCTATAGTTCAATTTATCTAGTACTAGCACTCATTGCCCAAATTAATACCCAAAGGGTTCCTAATAGTACCCCTGAAAATATTATGCAAAAAGGTTTTCTACTGTCTATTTTTTTTTTTTTTACTTTGGTATTATGCTCAGTTTTCCAGTGTACCTCTTGGTCAAATACATCCATCTGCCTCAAAAGAAAGGCACAACAATTACAGCAAGTCATCAGCATGAGGAGTGTTACATTCACACTGGAGGTTTCTCACCTACCAGTCAAGGGATTATTTTAGTCTACTTGTACATGTTTTCATATCATTGTCTACTTCTTCTACTTCTTCTACCCTGGCTACCAGTGGGAGCCTGGCAGTGGTCTGCAGTCACCTGCCACAAAGGGCTGTGATTTGTCAGACAGTAACTGAGGTGGGGATGGCTGACCCCCTTCTAAGAGGTGCCATCCAGAGATGAAGCTGAAACAGGGGAGACAGCCAGCACTGGGCCCAAGCATAGGGTTTAAAACAAACTAGAAGAGTTCTGAGATCTCACACTCAGATCAGTACAAAGGTCAGTCTGAAGAGATGTAGCTGCTGCAGATTCTGTTTTTTAGTGTTTCTCTAAGGGACAGGGAAGATAGCTGCAAGGATGTGAGAATGGGGATTGAGCATGTTTTAATGAAATCATTTATCAAGTATGACAGTTTCCTCAGAGAAAGTTTTATATTTATGGGGATTAGGATTCTCAGTTGGAAAAATATTCTATTTAAATTATTCTGGAAATATTCCTTCATCACTTATAATTATGACTAGAATGAAGAAAGTATGGTCAAGCTTTTTGCCTATTTTTATGAATTATATTGAAACAGCCATAGTTCTTTTAGTGTTTAGAAAGAAAATACATTTTTATCTGTGTTTTTAATGAAGTTATGGTAATATTTTTATTCATATCATTTCATGTGTGCTTCATACGCATTTCATAG